AGCTTGCTTGTTTTCATTTTTCATAAAACACTTTTCAGAAAATTATACTTTCTTATTTTTCGTGCTTTTTTGTTTTTACTGAATTTTTTTAATATGATGAGCAATTTTTTTACTTTTTAAACACACTTAACATAAATACACCTAAAAAGTAAAAAATTTAAAAAAAAAACTTTTAAAAATTCACTAAATACCAAAAATATAAAAAAAATACAAGAATTCAGTACATTTTTTTGTATTTTTATGTATTTATTAATTTTTAAAAATATTTTCACAAATTTTTTTATTTTTTAGATATATCTGACTAAGGTGCATCTAAAAAGTAAAAAAAATGTTTAAAATTTAAAAAATATTCACTAAAAACAAAATAATACGAAAATCAAAAAACTCAATTTTCAAAAAACTTAATCTAGAAAACTCAAACCAAACACACCGATTATCGTTTTCTTTTTCCTCTTAGCCTCCGTTTGGAAAGTGGGTTGTTTTTTTGATTTTTTGACTTTTTTGGCTATTTTAGCATGAGCTAAAAAGTTTGGTTTGAAAAGGGCTTTTTGACTTTTTGATTTTTTGACTTTTTTTTGTGAGAGAATAATGTAATGATTATGGGTTGGATGCGATATTTTATTTTTTATAATTAAAATAATTTATTTTGTCTTTTGTGACTAAAATAGCCAAAAAAATCTGGAATAGCTCTTCCCAAACGGACCCCTACTCCGATAAATACAATATTTGGTAATTCTTTATTACACTAAGGCCTAGTTTGGAAAGACTAAATAAGTGTACTTTTTGACTTTTTTTTTGTATTATGTGTAGAAAAAGTAAAGAGGAGATGTTGATTGATGTGACCCAAAAAAGATAAAAAGATGAAATAAGTGCACTTTTTTGTTTGTAGCCAAACAGTTGTTGTTTTTTTTTTTTTTTTTCCTCTCACAAGATAACAATTTGTATATTAATAGCTAGATTACAATACAGTGACATATAAGTGCCCTCTAAATAATCATTTAGACAATTGTCCAAGATCCATCATTAACATATAGGTTAACGAAAAAAAAATTATTATAATTGGCAAAATAACTATTGTAACCTTACTAAAGTAATTGCTAACGTCTTGGGTTCAATAGTTGTGAGGATTATTGTTATAATTTACAACTATGCCAGTACTATAGGCTTGCTCAGTGCAACTTAGAATCGTAGTTAGTAGCTTGAATTTCATCTTGTTCTGAATGGTTTGAATTTTGATTTGTCGGTCAATCAATTGATCATTCGGCTAGTCGTCCAATTAATTGTTTGGAAAGAAGATTGATAGTTGCGGTCGACAATGTGACAACAGTGATTATCAAGTATTTTACCGGTCGTCCGGATAAGTGTACGGCTGGTCATTCGAACGATTGATCTACAAGCACAAATTCGAGCCATTCAGGCAAGCTCAGTTCGAGCTACTAATCTTTATTAGTACAACTTAGTATAAATTGCAACTTATCTATGTCGCACCTTTTAAATAATTTTTTTTTCCAGTTTATTTAAGTTATTTCTACATAAACTATGAACGGAAACTGTGCCAAATAATAAAGTTGTTTGGTACAGCTTATTTCTAAGAGTTTGTACTTCTTAATCAGAAATATCTTAAATAAGTTTAAAAAAAAAATTGATTTCTAAATACTTAGAGGATATTTGGAATGATCTAAGTATTTTGACTTTCACGAAAATATGTGCAAAAAAATAGAGAGATGATGTGATTCAAAAAAAAATTTAAAAAAATATAATATAAAAATGCTAATATATTATTAACTTTCAATTTACAATAAACTATACCAATATAACACATACTTTCAAATCAAAATAAATTATACAACTTAATGAATTACACCAAAGTGCCTCTATAAAAACAAATTGTGTTTTAAAATTGTCACAATGGTGTATCATTTTCCATACAATTTTACTCATTTACATCTTGCACTGCCTCTCTTTTTATATAAACAATGGAAAATAAAAACAAAAAAATAAGGAAAAAAATAAAACGAAAATGACTGGTAGCTTGAAAAAAGTAGCCCGATTTTGGCTCGAATTCGAATTCAAAGACAGAGACAAAGGAGAAAGATGGAGAGAAGAGAGAAGAAGAGAAAGAGGAGGAGAGAGGGAGAAAGAGAGAGGAAGAGAGGAGAGCGTCGCAGCACCACCGCCGTCGCCGATCATCGCAGCACCAGAGATCGTCGCAGCACCACCGCCGTCGCCTCCTCCTCCCCCTGTGATTATGCCCTTTCTAATCCTCCTCATTCCTTCCTCCTCCTCCTTCCTTCCTTCTCTTCTCCTTCTCTTTTTCTCCACCCTTCTTCTTCTTCTTCCTTTTGCAACAAAAACACAGGAAAAAGAAAAAAAAAAAAACACCAAAACGACGTCGTTTTGGTGTCGAGTCAAATTCGAGCCAAACTCTTTCGAGCTACGTAGCGGGGTCGAAAATAAAATCAATCAGGTAGTGGAGAAATTATTGACGAGAGATGGAAGTTTTTGTGGTATAACTCTGACATGCGGTGAAGACTTATATTATGCACATAAAATATTTATGTCATGATTTAGGTAGTTGCTTAAAAGTTAATTTTTTTTAATTTTTTTAGTTTTTCTTGTCTTTTTATGTATAAAAAAGTGAACAAATAGTGTGACTCAAAATAGATTAAAAGTTAGCTTAAAGTTAGTTTTTAGTTAGCTACTCAAATTACCATTATGAAAATGCAAATAGAGCCCGTTTGGCATAAAAAAGCCAAAGGCTTTTGGGTTAAAATAGTCATAAAAAAGACAAAATAGATTTTTTAGTTCAATAAGGCAAAACATCACATCCAACTTATAATCATTTAATTTTTTTCTCTCATAAAAGTCAAAAAACTCAAAAAAATCTCTTCCAAAAAAGACTTTTTAACCCCAAACTAAAATAATCAAAACATTGAAAAGCCAAAACACATTCCAAACCAACCCATATTAATTTTAATATCCACTGATTTGATATTTTCCCAAAAAATAAAGGAAAAAATATCACATTAGTGGGGTTTTAAAAAAATAATAATTATAAATTAATAAAAAAAAAATTACATATTGATAATTAAAATTATAAATTTTTTCATGTATATGAATTTTTTTATTTTTTATTTTTTGGCTTCTACACCACTAGACTCGGACTCTTTTCAGTCTACATGATGGACTAAATCGTATTGTTTGGGCCTATGAGGCACATTATGAGTTTTATTTCGATAATTCGAATCGTTCGATGTGTAAAACTCGTCGAGTATTTCATTCTTACAAAAACTTACATTGATCGAATATCGATCGCTACTTGATCAGATTAGATTTCTGTCAACAATTTATTTTGAAAATTATATTATTGTTGACGGATATAATTTGATTAAGTAACTATAGATATTCGATTGACGTGATTTTTTATAAAGATAAAATACTTAATAAGTTTTACATATTGAATAATTTTAATTATCAAAAAAGGACCTGTAATAGGCCTCCATGAACTTAATAATAAACTCTAATCCGATCTGAGATAGAAAAAAAAAGTGGCTCTAAAGCTTCGTTTGGCATCGATTAACTTTTTTGTATTGGGACTTTGTTCAACTTACTTTTTTAGCCTCGTTTGATTTTGTTTTGGGGTTTTTTTGGCTTTTATGAGAGAAAAAATATAATGATTATGGTTTAAATGTAACATTTTATTTTATTGACTTATATAGCCTATTTTGGGGCAATTTGGGAAGAAGCTAAAAAGCTAGCTTTTTAATTTTTTGAATTTTTTTACGCAAAAAAGTCTCAAAGTCTCAAAAAAAAAAAAAAAACCAAAAAAATAAGCTTTTTACCAACTTTTCAAAATATCACTTTATCTTTTTTATGTTTTTTTAACCCCAAAATATTTACCAAACGAGGACTAATCAGTGTGTTTTGTTTGAGTTTTTTGAATTAAATTTTTAAAAAACTGAGTTTTTTAGTTTTCATATTTTTTTTTTGTTTTTAGTAAATATTTTTAAAATTTTAAACATTTTTTTTACTTTTTTAGATGCACCTTACTTAGATGCATATAAAAAGTAAAAAATTTGTGAAAAAATATTTTAAAAGATTAATAAATACATAAAAATATAAAAAATATATTGAATTCTCGTATTTTTTTTTAATATTTTTGGTATTTAGTGAATTTTTAAAAGATTTTTTTCATAAATTTTTTATTTTTTAAGTATATTTATATTAGGTATGTTTAAAAGTAAAAAAAATTACTTAAAATATGAAAAATATTCAATAAAAATAAAAAATACAAAAAATAAGAAAATAAAATTTTTTAAAAAATATTTTTGAACAAATGAAACCAAGTAAAGTGAATAATAACCCAAAAATGAAGACCTTTTGTTGTTTTTCAGTCAACATTCAAACTTATACATACATATACACTGTATATACCATATCAAAATCGTACATACCAGAAAAATTAGCCGGATTTAAAGGAGACAGACAGAGGAGTAAGTCATGAAACTTTCTTCTTATAATTCTCTCTCTCTCTCTCTCGCTCTCTGTCTCTCTCGCACTTCTTTCTCTCACTTCTTGAAGAAGCCAACACAACAAACCTCCACAATTAATACACTTCTCCATACATTTATCAAAAAATTAAAAAATTATACATGTGTTTTCGAATCTGTTTTTTAGTCAAAAACCCAATCTCAAGTTTTCACACAGTGTTCTTTGTCGGGCCAAAGCTTTCTCTCTCCTCCTCATCCTCCACTTCCTTCTCTCTCTAGGCTAACCTCATCATCTGTCATTTTTTCTATGCAACTAACTAATAAGCGTGCGTTTTTACAGTGAAGAATAAGCAACTGAAGAAACCACCCCAAACTGTAAAAAAACAACAAAAAAAAAAAATTTTTAAAAAAATGTTGAATAAATGAGACTAAAATCAAGAGAGAGAAACATAAAAAAGTGGTAGCAAGGAGAGAGAGAGAGAGAGAGAGAGAGAGAGAGAGAGAGAGAGAACTAAAAGAGAGGAAGAGTTGAGGTGCGTTTGTCTGTAATTGTGTAAAAGCAATGTCACAAGATGCTCTAGAGATAAAGACGATTGAGCAATGGAAATGGTCTGAAATGCAAGGTCTCGAACTCGTGTCAGCTCAATCAGACTCTCCCTTTAAATCATCCAACCCATCACCCACTACACCTTCACAACCACCACCACCAACAACAACAACAGCAAAAGACACTGAAGAAGTAAACGGATTTGAAGAGAGAGAATTGGGTAGAGAGAGAAGAGAAATGGAGGTCATTGAGCCCAAGAAAGACTCTGCATCAGCAGAGAAGCCTGGTTCTTCTCCTCCCTCATCTGGGTTCGGGGAGCTTTTCAGATTTGCAGATGGGTTAGACTATGTTTTAATGGCAATTGGGACTGTTGGTGCCATTGTTCATGGCTCTTCCTTGCCTCTCTTTCTCCGATTCTTCGCCGATCTTGTCAATTCTTTTGGGTCTAATGCCAACAACATGGACAAGATGACCCAAGAAGTCATCAAGGTAAATAAAAAAAAGAAAAAAAAAAATACATGAATTCACAATCATATTTTCATGAAACTTGATTCGTGAACTTGAATGATTTTCTTTTTTCTATGGAATATTATTATTTTTTTTTTTGGCAGTATGCGCTTTACTTTCTTGTTGTTGGGGCTGCAATATGGGCATCTTCATGGGCAGGTGAGTTCTATAGTTGTTGTCATTTGGGTTTTTTTTTTTAAGCTTTGATTTTGATTCAGTGAACTCTTCTCCACTGAAATTGGAATGAATCAAAAACTGGGTTGCAGAGATATCATGTTGGATGTGGACTGGAGAGAGACAATCGACCAAAATGAGGATCAAATACTTGGAAGCAGCTCTGAATCAAGACATTCCATATTTTGATACAGAGGTCCGAACGTCCGATGTCGTTTTCGCCATTAACACTGATGCTGTACTGGTCCAAGATGCCATTAGCGAGAAGGTGAAGGAAAATAAAAGAAAGAGAAAAAAAAAAACCCAATTTAGTTGATTACTTGTTTTCCTAATTGGGCTCTGAATTGGTCTTTTTGGTTTTTTTTGACAGTTGGGTAATTTCTTGCACTATATGGGAACATTTGTATCTGGATTTGTGGTGGGTTTCACTGCTGTTTGGCAATTAGCTCTAGTCACAATAGCTGTTGTTCCTCTCATTGCTGTAATTGGAGCCATCCACACCATCACATTAGCCAAGCTCTCTTCCAAAAGCCAAGAAGCTCTTTCCCAAGCAGGGAACATTGTAGAACAGGTCACAGAAATTGAAATTTTTCTCATATTTGTGCATTTTCTTTCATTTCCTTTTAGTTCATTATAAGTTCTCTCTATTTTTCCATCTGGGTATTGCTGATTCAACCCAAGTTGCAGACAATAGTTCAAATTCGGACGGTTTTGGCATTCGTTGGCGAATCAAGAGCATTGCAAGCATACTCATCGGCATTGAAAATCTCTCAGAAGCTCGGTTACAAGAGCGGATTCGCGAAAGGAATGGGATTGGGAGCAACATACTTCACTGTCTTTTGCTGCTATGCACTTCTGCTCTGGTATGGTGGTTATCTAGTTAGGCACCACTTCACCAATGGAGGACTTGCCATAGCCACAATGTTTGCTGTTATGTTAGGTGGCCTGTAAGTACAAGGCTACATTAAATATCCGCCATTTCGTTTCGGGATTTTAGACTTCTGATACCATAATTCATCAATCTATCAGCAGATAACTCTTATCCTGTTCGATATTGGCCTATATATGATCGTATACCGTTATTTGAGACCATGCTACTACTATATCTCTACTTAAATTCGTCTTGGCTCAACAGTAATTTTTGGCTTTGACAGAGCGTTAGGACAGTCAGCACCGAGCATGACTGCATTTGCCAAGGCCAGAGTTGCAGCGGCAAGAATATTTCGCATAATCGATCATAAACCCAGCGTTGAGAGGAATAGCGAATCGGGTTTGGAATTAGACTCCGTGACGGGTCAGGTAGACCTGAAAAATGTCGAATTCTCATACCCTTCAAGGGCAGAAGTTCCAATCCTTCGCAATTTCTCTCTAACTGTTCCTGCTGGAAAAACCATAGCTTTGGTCGGAAGCAGCGGCTCCGGCAAGAGCACTGTGGTCTCTCTCATCGAGCGATTCTACGATCCCACCTCGGGTAAAATACTATCAAGCAATATATTTCATTTCTATAATTTCTATGTTTTGTATATATTGAAGTAGACAAATTTAATGTATGGGTATGTTTTGTGGATAATTATGTTAGGTCAAGTTGTGTTAGATGGGCATGACATAAAGACATTGAAGCTGAGATGGTTGAGGCAGCAAATTGGGCTTGTGAGCCAAGAACCTGCTCTCTTTGCTACTTCCATTAAAGAGAACATACTGTTGGGTAGGCCCGACGCATCTCTAGTTGAGATCGAAGAAGCTGCCAGAGTCGCCAACGCTCATTCGTTCATTATCAAGCTTCCCGATGGCTTCGACACTCAGGTTACCATATAGTTAAAAGAAAATTCACTAAAGACAGAAAAAATAAGCTGATCCGAATAGGCTTAAGTTTTTTTCTATATATTGTTCTAGTAGTTATTGTAGATCAAATTTGGAATGTGAAAGTTAATCATAGATCTTGAACACAGATGGGGTTTGTTTGGTTAGATTTTTAATTGCTAGTGAACAAACAAACAAACAAACACGTTTAAAGTCAATAAGGGGGGTGTTTGGTCATACATATATTTAAAAAACAAATTTAAATGATTTTAGTCAACAATGCATGTGCAGATATAAATAGGGTTTTAATTATTTATTCAGAAACTAAGACCTCAAAACCGAAGGGGATGGGGAGAGGAAACAAGAAGACAGATACATGCTAAAAAAAACAATAGAAATGAAGAGCATGTTGGGTTCATTACAGCTTATAATAATAAGAATAATGTCAAGAAATTAAAAAACTATTTCGAGATTTTATAGGACTCACTGGATGGTGAAAGAGATTCTGTGATATTGACAATGAGGACAAAATAGAAAATAATATAGCTTGAAGATCTCAAGTAGGAGTCAGAGTGTTGCAGAAACAATTACGAAAAAGACAACAGAAAAAAAAAATTATCAAGTAAAAATACTAAGAATATCAATATAGAGGACTTAAAATACCATGGATCTACAATATTGACACAATGACAACAATATGGATAGAGAAAATCTGTCATTTGATTTCTGTAAAATTATTATAAAAAAAAAAAAAAAAAGGTTTGAGAATCCAAGTTCCGATTTCTTTTACCATTCATCATAACTTTTTGGGGGAAAGAACATATATAATGTGAAACCAATTGAAAATGGCAGGTAGGGGAGAGAGGGCTTCAACTGTCAGGCGGGCAAAAGCAGAGAATAGCCATAGCAAGAGCAATGCTGAAAAACCCAGCAATCTTGCTTTTAGATGAGGCAACAAGTGCATTAGATTCAGAGTCAGAAAAGCTAGTGCAAGAGGCTCTTGATCGTTTCATGATTGGGAGAACAACTCTTGTCATTGCACACCGTCTGTCCACTATCAGGAAGGCTGACCTTGTGGCTGTACTGCAACAAGGTAGTGTGTCAGAAATTGGAACCCACGACGAACTCATGGCCAAAGGAGAACATGGTGTCTACGCGAAGCTTATCAGAATGCAGGAAACAGCTCATGAAACCGCACTCAATAATGCCAGAAAGAGCAGTGCACGGTTAGCTTTACTAACTTCTGGTCTTTTCTTGGCAGTCATCATGAAACCACTCTTAATAATGGCAGAAATGTCAAAAAAATTCGTATTATTGGTATTTGGGACAAAGTAGTGATATACAAATAGAAAATTCATACAGAAATTATACATAAGACATGGATTTTGAGCCAATCACTGTAGAACAAAGAGCTCATTGAGGTGCCTTTAATTGCACAAATGACAGTCACTGTTACATCATTCTGGTGCAAAATTTTGTATAAAAATTTTGGTAGAATAACATATTCCTTCTGTACAAAGCCTAAATGCTGATGTAATGACATGGAGTAAGCTGACGATTTGTTGCCTAAAATGGATCTTTCTTTGCAGGCCTTCTAGTGCCAGGAACTCTGTAAGCTCACCAATAATTGCCCGAAACTCCTCCTATGGCCGATCACCATACTCACGCCGCCTATCTGACTTCTCAACATCTGACTTTAGCCTGTCCCTTGATGCCTCACACCCCAATTACAGGCTTGAAAAGCTCGCGTTCAAGGAGCAAGCTAGTTCCTTCTGGCGACTCGCCAAAATGAACTCTCCCGAGTGGGCTTATGCTCTATTTGGTTCTATAGGGTCGATTGTTTGTGGCTCCCTCAGTGCCTTCTTCGCATACGTTCTGAGCGCTGTCCTGAGCGTTTACTACAATCCAAACCACGCTTATATGATCAGAGAAATCGGAAAATACTGCTATCTATTGATTGGGGTTTCGTCAGCTGCGCTGATCTTCAACACGTTACAGCATTTCTTTTGGGATGTTGTTGGAGAAAACCTTACCAAACGGGTGAGGGAGAAAATGTTGGCGGCAGTGATGAAAAATGATATTGCGTGGTTTGATCAGGAAGAGAATGAGAGTTCTAGAATTGCAGCCAGGCTGGCTCTCGATGCCAACAACGTTAGGTCGGCTATTGGAGACCGCATTTCAGTGATTATGCAGAATTCGGCACTCATGGTTGTTGCGTGCACTGCAGGGTTCGTTTTGCAGTGGCGCCTAGCCCTTGTCCTCATAGCCGTATTCCCCGTTGTCGTCGCAGCCACCGTCCTGCAGGTTTGTTCTTGAGTACTAGGTTTTAGGATCATTTTGAAGCCGGTGGAGAATTCATAATGATAAATGTTAGGAATCCGTAACATCTAACCAAAATCGGTGAAACATGAAATATAAAAACAAACGAATGCACAAGAAAGATAAATCACACGTGCACACACACAAAAAAAAAGAAGTTTACGTTGTTCACCCAAAATTAGGACTATGTCCACGGCTATTGTGATTTTCACTATGATTAGAAAGATTACGAGAGATGGCCATCTCCCTTCGACTACATACTATGTCCACGGCTATTGTGATTTTCACTATGATTAGAAAGATTACGAGAGATGGCCATCTCCCTTCGACTACATATACATAGAAATTAGGGCAATAGATCACAAATGTTGCGATCAAGTGTTTAGTATAACAAGAAAGATAAATCACACGTGCACACACACAAAAAAAAAGAAGAAGTTTACGTTGTTCACCCAAAATTAGGACTATGTCCACGGCTATTGTGATTTTCACTATGATTAGAAAGATTACGAGAGATGGCCATCTCCCTTCGACTACATAGAAATTAGGGCAATAGATCACAAATGTTGCGATGAAGTGTTTAGTATATAGTATTTATCAAAATCTACACAACCCAACAATAATTTTTTTTTTTTTTTGTAAAAGGGCTGGTTAACAACACTTCTTGAAAAGTCATTAGGTGCATATATATAATTGAGCAGATCAGATAGTCCGTATGTTTATTGCTTTTGTTGTTTCTTCAAAACAGAAAATGTTCATGCAAGGTTTCTCAGGAGACCTAGAAGCTGCACATGCCAAAGCCACACAACTAGCAGGAGAGGCAGTGGCCAATGTAAGAACTGTTGCTGCCTTCAATTCAGAATCGAAAATTGTCAGTCTTTTCACCATCAGCCTCCAAACTCCGCTCAGGCGATGCTTCTGGAAGGGACAGATTGCTGGAAGTGGGTACGGAATAGCCCAATTTTTACTTTACGCTTCCTATGCCCTCGGTCTTTGGTATGCCTCGTGGCTTGTGAAGCATGGGATCTCTGATTTTTCTAAGACAATCCGAGTTTTCATGGTTCTCATGGTCTCCGCCAATGGTGCAGCAGAGACATTGACCCTAGCCCCTGACTTCATTAAGGGTGGCCGAGCCATGAGGTCAGTGTTTGAGCTCCTTGACCACAAATCTGAAATTGATCCTGATGATCCCGATTCGATCCCAGTTCCCGATCGGCTACGTGGGGAAGTGGAATTCAAGCACGTGGACTTTTCTTACCCTTCCCGCCCTGATATGCCAGTTTTCCGAGACCTCAGCCTTCGTGCACGAGCTGGAAAGACACTCGCTCTTGTGGGTCCCAGTGGGTGCGGTAAGAGCTCAGTGATCGCTCTTATAGAGCGTTTCTATGAGCCATCTTCAGGACGGGTCATGATCGATGGGAAGGACATTCGAAAGTACAATCTAAAGTCATTGCGACAACACATTGCTTTGGTGCCACAAGAGCCATGCCTCTTTGCGACAACCATTTATGAAAACATTGCTTATGGGCGTGAATCAGCAACCGAAGCTGAGATAATCGAAGCAGCAACTCTCGCAAATGCCCATAAGTTCATATCATCGTTACCAGAAGGTTATAAAACATTTGTTGGGGAGAGAGGGATTCAATTGTCCGGTGGACAAAAGCAAAGAATTGCAGTTGCTCGGGCTTTTCTAAGGAAGGCTGAGCTAATGCTACTAGATGAAGCCACAAGCGCGCTCGATGCTGAGTCAGAAAGGTGCGTGCAAGAGGCCTTGGAGCGTGCTTGCTCGGGGAAGACAACAATTGTTGTTGCACACCGACTATCAACAATAAGGAATGCCCATGTCATTGCTGTGATAGACGATGGGAAAGTGGCCGAGCAGGGCTCACACTCACACCTACTGAAAAACTACCCTGATGGGATCTACGCTCGGATGATACAATTGCAGAGATTTACACATGGGCAGGCCGTAAACATGACGTCAGGCTCTAGTTCTTCGACTCGCCCAAAAGAAGATGATGAGAGAGAAGGCTAGGGAAGTGAAAAGAAAATACCAGTAGAAAGGAGTACGTCTCTTATACCCTTAAATGATTTTTTTTGTTTTTTTGTTTTTGTTTTTGTTTTTGGATGTCATGTTCTTGTCTTTTGTTTTTGGTATAGCATAGTATGTGTATTTCATCTAAAATTACCATAATATATGTTCCTATGTTGATTGATCACTCTTTTTTTGCCAATGAGAAATATGTTCTTGAGATTAAAAATTAGATATATGTAAATCTATCATGCCTATTAAATTTCACGAGAAGTTTCTCTCTTGCATATTTTTCTTGTCCATTATTTTTTGTGGAAAAGACTAATGTGGATGGGAAGCTACCTACCTCCTATTTGACATTATTGAAAAAGAATGGGGTCGCGGTAGGACTAACATCACCATCTACAGCTTGATATTCGTTATCCAAATCGGCCCTACTTTCTGCACAATCTAACTCAATGTACAGTTAGTAATTTGAATGAAGCAGTGATCAAACATGTCAAAAAATTCTATCAATATCAACCCAACATGGGTAGTCTAGAACTCTGGATCAAACTGTGAACTTGAACATTTTGAGTTCGACTCTTGTTAGTGTTTTTGAGCTTAAGCAATTAGGGAGGTTCGTTGTCATTTAAAAAAAATAAAGAAAAAGAAAAAGAAAAAGAGAATTTAATCGCTTTCTCACTGATGGGGAGTGAAGTTGAGAGGTTGAATAGCTGTCCGAGCCAGGAAAAGATATGGTGGGCTCCTGACAGGACAATCGATTGAATCGTGACAGAATTTAAACCGTCTGATCTTGATAATGTCGGGGTGTCTTTTAAATTTAAGATTAACAGTGATTGTAGATGTAGGGGGGGTTAGTGGTGGTGGGGAAGGCATTATTGCCTTGGGTTCACGTGGTGGTTGAAACATGAGAATGAAACTTGAAAAAGACAGACAGCAACAAGAGGAGAAAGCTCAGTGAAGGAGAGAAACGGGACAAAGGGAAAAAGAGAGACACATATAATAGATTACCATCTACCAGTATGCTGGTAGTGGGAGGTCCATGAGAAAACAAAAGGTAATTATTAATTCGTTTTTAGAGTATTATATGACATTATTCACGTTGCGGCACACTTTACAGTTGAGATAATGCCAACTTATTTTTGTTAGGTAACTGAGAGACAATGAATCATTTACTTAGTGTGTTTTGAGATTTTTTATCGTAATGTTACATGATACTCTGGATTACTTAATAATTGAGAGACTGAAAAAACACACACAGAGGATTTGAAAATGACAGAGATATGATGCTCTGTTTTTTTATGATGGAATTGTGTTTCTGTTTCTGTTTTTTGTTCTGAGGGGGCCCCTGGCTTGGCCTGATCTCTTTGTTTCTAAACACGTTACAAGGATGTGAGTGGCCATGAATGGATTGGTGTTTTGTGGTGTGCTCTGTTTTTCCTGTGCTTTTTGCAGTACAGCTGATTATTATTATTATTTTTTATTTTTTATTTTTTTAACTTGGTTTTGAAAAATGACAGCTGTGGTTTGAACTTTGAAGATTGACAGGCAGATACCAGTTTAATCCTCACTGCTTGAGGTTGAGGAGATGGTTGGCTTCTCCATCAACAGCCAAAACCATGCCCTGTTGTTAGTTGTATTGTTAGGAACAAAATAATTAAAAACTTTAAAAACATCCATCATTTACAATTTGAAATTTTTTTTAAAAAATTGTGTTTCCTAAAAAGTATAAAAAATTGTGAAAGAAAATGCCTATTTTACACCGATAACAAAAATAAAATGAAAACGATACCAAACATGCCTATTTTGTTGAGGATCCCTAGCAGACTTAGAACTATACCGAACAGGCCTAAACGGGTTTAATGGTAAAACCGATTTTGCAAGTAAATAATTGTTACATTACTGTATTGCCATTTTTTGAACGATCTTACTAATGACAATCCTAAAAGTTGTCAATAAAAAAAATATTTATAATTTCAATATACTCTTTACATATTTCAAAATAATTTCAGACATTTTTTCAACACTAACATCAACTCTAAAAGGCTGTTTTAACATATCTTTTTTTTTAAAAAAAAAGAAAAAGATCAATAAAAATAAATGCCAATGATGGGGTTTGTAGATGTGGGGATATACTGCAAATTTCAAATTAACATAGTAGGAGGAGTAGCAGTGTAAAAAGTGGAAGGCCTGGTTGGTACCACCAAAGCCCACAGCATCCAATGATATGTCCTTATTTACCCTACAATCTGCAAAAGCAAATATCAGACTCATCCACAACACAAATACATTGCTCTCCTCTCCTCTCCTCTCCTCTCCAGGCAGTGCCAGACAAAATCATTATTTTTACCCTTCTTTTCTTTCTCCTCTTTTGCTGGAAGGAAAGAGAGGATGTGGGTGCCAGTTTCCAGACATAATGATTTTACATCCATGAGTTTCTGTTTTCATATATCACATTATCTCAATTCACACTTTTCTTTTATTCAGTTATTAATTCTGAATAAAAACTTTATGATTCAACTATATATTAGTTCCAAAGTTGATTCAGAAGTTTGATTTTTAAACCATTAATTTTCCTTCAAAAGTTAATTTTCAAACCATATAATTTTGTCTGAAAATTCACTTCTAAAGAAGAAATTTTTTTTGCTATAAACTGAGAAAAAAATTGTGTAGAAATAGAAACTCTGCACTTCTAATGGGTAACTATGGTTTTATGTTGACAAACAAGAACATGTACGAACTCATTGATTTGCCTTATTCAAGACGATCAAACTCACAAAACCAACTCCTAAGGCCACATCAATTCTTTATAGATTGCACCATTAGAAACACAAACTTTTTTCGAAAAATTGCACACAATGTCCTGCAATGTTGTATTCATTGTGAATAAAACCCACATTTAGGATGGCAAACGAATCAAGTTGAGTCAATCTTTTGAGTGTTCAAACTTGTTTATTAAGAAATAGTTGAGCTTAAATAATCGAGTTCGAACTCGGCTCGTTAAATACTTGATAAACTCAAGTTCGATTCAATTACATGAACGAGCCGAGTTTGAACTTGAGCTTAAGCTTGAGCTTGAAAAAAACTAAACTTAAATTAATTTACTTATTACGATAAAAAAATAAAAAAATTGTGAACAAAATATACAATAATACTTATATTAATAATAAACTGCGTCAATCAATTATGTATTTTTACACAAACACCAAACACAAATAATAAAAAAAATAAATTATTAAAAATTTATTTGATATGTCATTAAAAGTAAATATTAATTTATTTTCTTTACATTCATGAGCCTCATCGAGCCGAGCTTGGGACTACTCAAGCTCAACTCGATTAATAAACGAGCTTAAAAATCGAATTCGAGCTCGTTCATTTAATAAACGAGTCGAGTTTAAACGAGTTTTAAATAAGTCAAGCTCAGACTATTCATAAACAGCTCAATTAGTTTGTAACCCTATCCACACTCTACCAAAATGAATGCTAGTATAACATTTGGTAATTTTATTAATTTTTTTTTTTTTTTACACTATAGTAATTCCACATCGGATGTGGAAACCATCTTGGAGGCACCCAGGAAGAGGAAAAATCTAATTTATAAGGCCGACTATTGGATTATAAAATATAGCAAACAATACTCCCAAGTAGATCTAGGCCACGCATCTTATAATAGCCTTTGGGCCTGTTTGTTTTGAGACACAAGGGTTGTTGGGATTGGATTAGTAGTGAAGTAAAGATCACTAATATTATGTTAGTTAGCTAAAGGGAGCACCAGGCCTCACTCTAGTGGATTAGCAATGTCTTTGAGGCTTTGGTATTTACGTTATTGGGAGATTTGGAGAGGGATTTAAAAAGAAAAATGGATAAGGTATGTGAAACTAAATAAAATGTAAGTATATTTTATTTATATTTTACCTACCTTTTTCATTTTGCTTTTCAAATCTCTTTTCAAATTTTCCAATAAAACACAGCATTAGAATCAATCTGTTTATATTACAATGAGAAAGCCATGCAACATGGGTACTTGTAAAATTTCATATAATTAATCTCATCCATGTATTGTTAGTCCAGTGGTTATCAATTAAATAATATTTTTTATATTTTTAACCTAATACTACTACACTAATAATTGACTCACTCAATCTCACCATATTCATAACTCCATCCAACCTAATTCTAAAAACAAATAAGGCCTCAGTGATACTCTATCCTTACCACTTCTCAAGCACTCAGTATTTTGTCATTTACATGTTGGACACAGAGGAATGAAAAACTTCATCCTTCGCAATCAAAAGGGCTCTTGAGATGGAAGGTTAATTGGTAGGGTTTTAGAACCCCAATAACCATGTTCTAAACGCTTTGAAAGTTCTTCAAAATGCTTGAGGTTTTTTTTTTTTTAATTTTTTAATTTTTTACATTTAGTTTGATTGGTGTAACTTGGGGCCTGACAGTGTATTCCCTGTAGGTTTTAGGTTCAACTTTTTGGGGCCACGCCTGTAAACTCTACACGAGATTTGTCCATTCCATGTAGAGAATAAGCTTTGCATGAGTCTCGAAATTAGTCGAGCTGCGTATAAATTGGTCCGAACACCCGATTTTCAAATAAAAAATTTAATATTTACAAACATTAACAATCACAATGACATTCAGACCAATCAAATATAATCCAATCATTTCCTTACTAAATTTTCTATCAAGATTAAATTCAGAAGTCTAAAAACCTTGTACAACTAATTTACTATATGATACAAGAAAAATGTTTGAGGGCCACAAAAAGCGTGGCTCAAATGGCTCAAAACTGCCAGAATGACGTTGTTTTGTGTCGTTTTACACTCAAAACGACGTCGTTTTGACAGTTTTGAACCATTTGAGCCACGTTTTTTGTATCCCTCTACCATTGCTCATGATACAAACAACTCACATGGAAAAAAAGAGGGACACACAAACCCGAAATTTACTAGTAACTAGGTGTTATCACCCATCACCCGCCACCATCCACCCGCCACCATCCACCACCACCACCCACCCGCCACCAGCTACCCACCACCCACCGTCACCACTTTCCACCACCGTCTTCCGCCGCCACTTGTCACCACTTGCCATTTCTCACTTTTTTTTTATTTTTTATATTTTTAAATTTTTTTAAACATTTTGTCAATTACCAAACGTGTTTGTAATTTATGTTTTTCAAAAAATAAACAAAAAATAAACAAAAACTAATTTATAAATTTTTTGTAAATATAAACTGAAAATGTAAACGTTACCAAACACACCCTCAGTATTTTGTCATTTACATGTTGGACACAGAGGAATGAAAAACTTCATCCTTCGCAATCAAAAGGGCTCTTGAGATGGAAGGTTAATTAGTAGGGTTTTAGAACCCCAATAACCATGTTCTAAACGCTTTGAAAGTTCTTCAAAATGCTCGAGGTTTTTTTTTTTTTAATTTTTTAATTTTTTACATTTAGTTTGATCGGTGTAACTTGGGGTCTGATGGTGTATTCCCTATAGGTTTTAGGTTTAACTTTTTGGGGCCACGTCTGTAAACTCTACACGAGATTTGTCCATTCCATGTAGAGAAGACGCTTTGCATGAGTCTCAAAATTAGTCGAGCTGCGTATAAATTAGTCCGAACACCTGATTTTCAAATAAAAAATTTAATATTTACAAACATTAACAATCACAATGACATTCAGACCAATCAAACATAATCCAATCATTTCCTTACTAAATTTTCTATCAAGATTAAATTCAGAAGTCTAAAAACCTTGTACAACTAATTTACTATATGATACAAACAACTCACATGGAAAAAAAGAGGGACACACTAACCCGAAATTTACTAGTAACTAGGCGTTGTTAGGTGTCAAAATTCCCAATTAGAATGTGATTAGTTTATGGAAACATAGTGAGTGCTATCACTTTTGTGTTCTTTGAGAAATAATATAGGTACCGACAAATAGGTGATTGGTGTGGCAACACTCAAAAGGCATTCAATAATGGATAATATTTACACACCATGAACTATAATTACCCACCACAAAGTATCTCAATGCACACCATTTACTTAGTGCACACAACACACAATTTTAACTATTTGATTTTTACTCAATGCATACCATCAATTTTTAAATATTCCCAAAATATCCTTATCTTCACCAACCCCAACTTGAAGTCTAACCTTAACATCTCTTCACCACTGCCACCGTTGCTAAGCTACAACCACCGGCATCGTCCCTTTGAACCCCATTTTGCCAGTGCCCCTCTCCCGCTGACGTCATCTCCGTCCCCCATCTTTTACCCCCTAACTCCTCCGCAACTCCCCACTCTATTGCTACACCTTTCCAGTGGCTTACAACCCTCATCCTCTTTTACCCTCACCGCTCCCCTCTCTCCCTATTTTGACGCACCACCACCACAACCCTCGTCCATCACGACTCCCACAAAGAGAGAGATTCGTTGGCACAAGGGAGGGAGATCAATCGTGAAATAAAGAGACGGATCTGGGATTTCAACTAGCAGTGAAGACGAAGAAGAAAGAAAAAGAATGAGGAGGAAAGAGATGGAGTCGCAAGACAGAGGTTAGAGAAGGAGGGGCACGGGTGACGGCACTGATCAAAAGTTGGAGTTGCGTGGGTTGCAGCGGTGGATCCTATTGGTGTATATGTGCGTATTGAGAAATTAGGGTTAAGGATTTTGTCTAAAAAGTAATTAAACTAAAGAACACAATTGTAATAATAAAAAAAAATTGAGAAATGGTAGGTACTGAGAAAAAGAGTGGTGTGTAAATAGAATTACTCTTCACTAATATTTCCAAATTTAAATGCTTGAATCATGAATATGAGAGAGAGAGAGAGAGAGAGAGAGAGATTCATGTAATCAGATGAACAGCATGGAGTCTATACCTTCACCCGGAAAATATGATCCTAACAACCGGGTCACAAAATTTAGACACCAATTCTAAGCAGGTTGTGATTGAAAAATTTAACTCTAACAAATCAGCACATAAAATACACACATGCAAAAAGTTTGGAATACACCAAAACGATAAACAGCAAAACTCGCCACCAATTGAAATCCACCAAAAAATAAGAATTTACACAAAAGCTCCTTATGAATAGGCCAAAGTCTAATTCTATTGAAAACCGCAACTCAGCCAAGACCAAGACTGATATAGGACTTGTCTTAGAACATCCTTCAAGCATAGGTAAAATGAACTTTTGGTTTCAAGTCAAGCACTTGATAAAAATGCAGACCTTTGACTTGGATATAGATCAGGTTTCTAAGACTTGTACAATTTTTTGAAGTATTGACCTGTTCGAACCAACAAAAAAAAAAAAACAAAAACAAAAACAAAACAAAAACAAAAAACCAAAAACCAAAAACAAGGAAAGAAATCAATGGCTAAGTCACCCTAAACCCACTGAAAAGAAAAAATACACATGACAATGAATTGCTTCTTTAATTTGTCACACAGATATTGTACCTTAGAACCTAACCCTGCCCCTGAATAAGAGATGCCACTTTGTTACAAAGATCTAGAAGATAACAACTAATATCAGTTTCATTCTGCACAGTAATTGAACTAACTTCCATAAGACATGGTCTTAGCCAAAAGGTGTATAACATTTTCTGAGTTTCCACTTTTCCACTTCCCCGCAAATTGACAAATAGAAATTGAAAATATGAGGAGCGAATATCTTTCAAAAACCTGACTAGTACCAAAAATGGCATTCAAGTATAATACAACTTTTGTAAGTTTGCATTTTTCAACAGCAATGAGGGTTGCGATGGCAAATAATATAAATATTGCTTCACAAGAGTAAAAGAATATTTTTCTGATGAAGTGCAACTAATTCAAGAATGCTAAGCACTAAAATACTAGAGGATCATGCCAATCCATCATCACCAGAAGATCATGCGATTTTTATCCGCATTAAAATTGTTAGAATAGTTTTAACTAGGTTGGCTATTTTCAATAAACAATATCTTCAGTGTCTATATTTTGGGGTTTTTGGGTTGGATGCTCTACTTACTGAGTGAATGAGATTGCGCTGTCCGCTTGAATGGTATTCTTCAAGAAGTAATGCAGCCATCAATACCATTGCTAATAGGTAAATGACTTGTCCGAACGCTTCCACTTCACCATTTTGTATCTCACATTCATCTAGGCACTAACCCATTTTATAGGACTTTCCCCTCGTGTAATTCAAGCCACTTCTTGCTAAAGATGATTGGCCCCTTCTTGTTATGCACTTGACAGGGGATCAAGCTCTTGGGGCTTGATATGCGCCAATAGGAGCTTAAGTGCCTGAGATCTTGCAAGTAGCGCTTGATATGTACTTGACAAGAGCTCAAGGGCCTGAAATCCTCTTGATCTGCGCTCAACTGGTGCCAGATACGAAACCGAGCCATCAAAGTCCTGTGAGTAGCACTCAACAGGTGCTTGACATGGGCTCGAGCAGTCAAAGTCCTAGGAGCAGCACTCGACAGGCACTGGATTTGGGCATTGTTGATGCACCACAGATCCATTTTATGACAATTTTGCCCCTGAAAGAGTTTTAATATCGCATTTCTTCATTTCAGATGAAGAATGATGGTTATTGAAGCCTAAGATCTATTTTCTCTCTACAATTGCTTCATAATTTGTTCATCAAGAATTCATTGATGAATCTCATGTGTTTGTCAATCTATAGAGTAGAGACTCAAATTATCAGTTAGATTCATTTAATTCTTCTAGATTGAGTTTGTGAACACCAAAACCTTCACACTACTTTTCATATCCCTACAACACCATGACCATATGAGCAATGAGCTATCGAAGATGGGGATTGGAGCTTCATGTTGGGTATTAAATCTATGGAGCTTGACATGTCAATGTCTCTTCGAAGCCAAGATTTAGCTTTTTGAAGCTTGTGGTGGGCTCAATTGTAGATAAACTAGGGTAAGTAGTTGTAATTCCTTCAATTATGCCTTTTAACAGTTTGATTTAATAATGGATTGTTATTCACTGTTAGGACAATGATTTTCATCCCGCCGGAGAGTTTTTCTATAGGTCTTCCAATGTTAACTCTTGAGTCTTATGGTTGATTGTTCTCTATTTGTTAGATTGATAGTATTGATGGATTAATTTCTTAATTGATAAATTGTTGATTTGATTGAATAGTTAGATTGCACTATTAATGGTCTAGAGATAAATTTATCATTTGCTTATTAAAAAATGAGTTAGTAATTTGATAAATGGGCCTATTCCATAGGTGCACATTGGATTGCCAAATTAGATTTTATGGGATTGGATATGAACGAAATTATTGATAGGATTGTGAGAGAGAAGCTAAACCACGGGATTAGATGGTATGAAGGATTGAATATATGATAGGAATGTGGATAGTATTATGAAGGAAAAGTTATACCATGGGATAAAGGATAGATGGAGTGACAGATTATGTTTGCTTAGTATGGGATAAATAGATATAATTATTTGTGGACGTTAGATGGAGGGAAAAAATCCGAAGAGGCCTAATCCCCCAAATACTACGATTCGTATAGTATTACTTAATCCCACATTTTTTTTTTCTCATTTAATCCCCTATACCAATACTATAGTTATTTGGAGTTTTTATATCGTGCTAAACAAGCTTCAGATTATAAAAAAATAAAAAACATGTGGGGCCTAGATGTTCCTCACCTATAATCCCACCCTTCTTATCCAACAATCAAACCCGGCATTAAAAATTAAGTAGGGCCTAGATGTTCCCTTACCTCTTATCCTCTCCTTTTCCTGCCCCGCAAACAAATGTGGCCTAGAGGCCTAGTAATTTCAAATATGATTAAAAAGAAACTGAAATAATATGAAGCAAAGGAACTGCTCTGAAAAGCATATAACAACACAACAAATGAGATCGCAAACCAGAACATTGATTTAAAATTATTTGCTACATAAACATAAAAGTGACAAGATAGATCATTCTTAACTGTAATGAGGATCTTAACATTGCCAATTTAAACATAAAGAGTGCAGTTTGCAGCCCATTGAACATTAACTTTAAAAAAATATCCACGGACAAACCAAAAACTGGGAGCTCACATTGACATTAGCTTTGGACCATTATCTGGCATGCCCATCCCAGCAGCTAGGTCAGCATCAAGTTGTGTATGTGGTGCAGGCCCCATCATTTGCTTCACACTGCATTAACAGAAGTCTTGTAATCTTAAACCTTCTCTGCTAATTTTCCAAAACAAATATAGTAAGCAAGCATTATTTGTAACTGTCAAGATTTCATGGTGAAGATGTGGAGAGTTAAAAGCCTGAACAAAGGAAGAAGACAACCCAAATTTCTTCCTTGACAATCAGCAGAACAAAGAAACGACAACTTAAAGAGATGGCTTAAAATTTAGAAAACAAAAAGGGAATTGTATACTACACTAAAGTCACTAAAGAAAGAGGAAAGCATTCGGTTGAACAAACAAAGGAAATTATAAAGAGGTGTTCAAAATTTAGAAGGTAAAAAGGCAATGGTGTACACTATTAGTCATTAAAGACAAATCTAGGCATTAACATTGGAATACACTTCTTGATCCCTGCTAGATACAAGTTGTATAAATAGAAAATCTATCCAGTCCTTCCAGAGGCCCAATTGGTCAAGGAGATATTTATTGCTTCCATCTTTTAACCACTTCAGCCGGCCCACATCATGTCAAGGTAGCAAGAGCAAAATCCAAGCACTTTTGAGCTTTATTGGCCCTGGAACTAGAAAGGCCTTTAACCATTGAAACAAATATTAGGATCCTCCAACAGCCACCACCACCACACCACTACTAGTAGCCACCCATTTTGGAATTGCAATAGTAGTAACCTAAGAAGCACGGACCCTTCTAACTTCTAAGACGGTGGCGTGTCCGTGTTCGTGTCCGTGTCCAATGTTGGATTTTTTGACACATGTTGGACACATGTTTAAACAAGTCCTATTATTCTTTTAAAATAAAATTTAGACTCAAACACACTTTTGGACACACATGTCTATTGCTTAAACACATAGAACACATCACAAGTTTGAACAAAGTAACTTAAGATCTAATTATAAAATAATGGGTAAATTACAAATAAACCCCCCGAGATTTGCTTAAAATACAAATTGCACCTCAATTATCGCACAAAACCAAAACAAATCACAATTTAATCCTTGCATGTTTACATACCTTCCAGTCCTTGAATTGGATAAGGTTGAATTTGATATAATTCTCTAAGTTAACTCGAGCATGTTTATGACTCAATTGCCTCAATTATAATCCCCCAAAAAAAGAAAAAAAAGAAATTCACAATGTAATCCTTAAAAACTTACAAGCTCATCAACAAGAAAACATAAACATTCAAAAACACAATATATATATATATATATATATAAACACAGAAGTCTGTACCGTTTTCTGTGTCGTTTCGTCTTGAAATGTTCATCCCTTACCGCCACACTTGCAAAGTATCGACTGGAGAGAGAGAGAGAGAGGGAAAAGTAGACAAATTTAATCAAAATCCAAATCACACGAATTAAAAAACAAAACAAATATATGCATAAATATACAATTACAAAAACAAACGCATATAATAGAGGGGAAAAATATAAAATTTACTCGCAGTGTATGCAGTAATACTGGCCCATCCCGGGAAGATCTTCATCCACAGGCAAGGGCTTCTTCTCGTCATCTGGCTTCCGAAGCTCCTCATAAACAGCATCGTCGCGTGATCCACACACTCGTAGTCAAGAAAATTAACCATAAAGCACGAAATTTTTCCATGAAATTCCAGAAACAACGAAAATTAACAGGAAAATCGAGAAGAATTTGAAGAGAAAAGGAGCGAGAAAGTGAAAAAGGATATCTTTGAGCTCGAATTTGGTGCGCCGAGATGTTTTGTGAGAGTACCTTCTCTTCTTAACCTTCCTGTGTGGGCACTTTCCACCCATTTTTTTTTGGGTTTTTCGAGCGATTCGAGAGCTTTGTCCTCCTTGATCAGCAACTACAATGTGTTAAATTAGGGTTTTACGTGTTGTCTCTTGAAAACCCTAGGTTAAGATTAGGGTTAGGGTTTTCAAGGAAAATTCCAGTGATCCCAGATCAGTTCGGGTTTCGATTCGGCCAGAGCCCAATCAAGTTAGCTGAATTCGGCCCAATGTGGATTGTTCCTCCATGGAAAGCCTACTAGGCCTATTTATGATTTTATTGCGTAAATTACACTGACCTCCCCTATATTTGAAGAAAATATAAGAGACTAAGGTCTCGTTTGGGAATAGACTAATTTAGTAACTTTTTAGCTATTTGGTTAAAATATGAGCTAAAAAAAATTAGTATGTTTGGATGACTTTTTGACTTTTTACGAAAAGATGTGCAAAAAGTAGAGAAAAAAGAGAATCTTTAACTTTTTGGTATGAGTTGTTGGCTTTTTGGCTAATTTAGTAACTTTTTGACTTTTTAGCTAAAAGGGATGGTTCCCAAACGAGGCCTAAGAGTAAGTTACACTATATGTATGTTTGGCCATTTTCTCATTTTAACCCTTCAATTTTTTTATTTTTTATTTTTCCCCACACTTAGGGCTCATATTTTAAGTTTTGCCCAATTTGTTTCTAAGGTTAACTTCTGTTCAAAACATGTCATGTTATAATAAAAAATATATTATTATATTAAAATTTGAGTTTATATTAGAAATGTGAATTATATATAATAAAATATTTTTATAACCATTATTCATCAATTGTGGCTAATAGGTATCCCATCATCTTGTTCACTTTTATACACAATTCTTTAATCTCTTTATCAACCAATTGATAGACAAATTTATAAATAGATGATTGAGTTGCTAACTGTTGGGTTTGTGGAACGTGATAAGTACTATCCACTCAACCCTAAGTCCAATTAGGGGTTTGGGCACTTTAATAATTTCCAATAAGAGGTTTGGGTACTTTAGTAATTTTTGTATTACTTCTTCGTTGATCTAATTCTATATTTATAAATAGATGAAGGGAATGCCTCTTTTAGGTTAAGAAAGTTGTATTAAATACACAAGAATATAACAAATGTACTGAATTCTTGTTTTTTTTTATTATATATTTTTGGTATTAGGTGAATTTTCTAAAGATTTTTTTTTCACAAATATTATACTTTTTAAGTGTATTTATATTAGTTGTATCTAAAAATTAAAAAAATTGCTTAGAATATTAAAAAAAAATCCAATGAAAATAAAAATACAAAAAACAAAAAAATTCAATTTTTTGAAAAGTGTACCCTGAAAATCCAAACCAAACAAGCTCATTGTTTTCTAATCATAGGATGTAACCGTATTCTGGGATGAACCACGTAAATCATTGTGATCTTGTATATATGTGTGATTTGTTTGCTTCATTTTATCTTTCTTATTTATTATTTCATTTCTCACCGATCCTAGTTAGGAAGAGACGATTTCCTAACACTAATTTTACCATTATAGGAGAAAGATCCCTGTAACATGCTGATATCACTAACCCAGGGTCATTCTCATTTACTTCAACATTTTCCCTCTTATTTCACCACCTTTTGCATCCAATTAATCTCCATCAGCCTAATATGTATCTTTCTAAATTTTTTATAACATTTATTATATCAAATGCTTTACTTGCATGACCACATAAAATTTCAAAGTTTTCTAACTTTTGACAAATACAACTATTTTTTGGCACCTTTTGTCACCTTCCCTATAATCCTCCAAAATATATTATATATCATCACCATACAAGTCAATGACATAATAAACTTCTTTTAACTTGTGCCATTTCTTCCCTCGACAACAAAAGAATGTGTCCAACCCATCATGGAATAAAAGTAGTGTACATGTAGCACTTGTGTCCTTTAAACTATTGAAGAGTGCCTTTAATTCCTTTATTTTCATTTGAGAACTCTTTGGAGTTGTTGTATTTTGGTTTTGGAGGAGCATAATTCGATTTAGACTTGTTGGGATTGTTCATTTGCGCTTGTTTTCGTTGAAAAGTTCTTTAGGAACTTGGAAAGTTTGTTCTGGTGTCGACACTAGTCTTCTTGGGGGTCGACACCACCTTACTATCATACTCTTAGTGCCGCTACTAGTTTTTGGAGTCGACACCCTGAGCTCCTAGGGTCGACCCTTCCCTTGATGTTTTGTTCTGGTTGTCTACTAAAATATAGGATTGACACCACGGGTTCCTAGGGTCGACTTTTATCTATTGCACACATTAGTGTCTTAGCATTTTCTTCTTGAGGGTCGACACCATTGTCTTGAGCGTCAACCCTGTGAGTTATTTCCAAATTTTTTGGCTCGATTTTAGGTTCTACTTTTTGGGGGTTTGACTTATTCTTTTATTTGACTTTAGGGCTATTATTTTACCACTATAAATAGACCCCAATATACTTTTTTCATTCACTTTTTTCTCTCTCTCTCTCTCTCTCTCTCTCTCTCTCTTTAAACCATGAATCCCTCTCTATTTCTCTTAGAAACTCAACTCAACTTTTCTTACATAGATCTCTAGATCTACTTGGCTAGAGTCATTTTTTCACCTTGGTCCTTTAAGAAATATTGTAGATCTCATCAAGGCTTTCTTTTGATCCAAGAGTTTCGTGGTTTCATCGACTTCGAGTTTTTCCAAGTTCTCATCTTTGCTTCAAGAGGTAGGGTCTATTTCCTAAACTCAATATGAGTTCGGTAGCATATTTGTGGCGTATTTTGTTATTTATATTTGGTAGTCATTTGCTTCACTTTGAAATGTTATTCTGGGCTTGAGGGTTGTTCTGAAATTTGGGGTTTTTTGGGCTATAGTTATGCTATTATAGTTATTTTCGATATACAAATTGCATATGGATTTCTAAATGGGGAAAAGCCCCAATTTGTAAAAAAATCCTAAATGATATTGTTTTGGGAGTTAGATTGATATTTTTGTAAATGGTTTGGTTGGAAAGAGATGGAAATGAAATGGTTGTGAGATTTTGAAAATGGGTGTTGTTACTCTTTTGAAAAAATATATTTGTATTGTTATCTACTAATTATTGCTTGTGGATTAGGCAATTTGAAATCATTCATATCATGGAGCATGTAATAGATTTTTCAAATTTGAAACCGTATATTTGGAAAGAGGTTTTGGAAATTCTTGTATTTTGTTTTGGAACATTTGCATTGTTTTGAAAAATAATATTTTGAATCACACGTGTTTTGTTATTGGGAAAAGGTAAATAGAGTGATAAAGCTATGAGGGGGTGTTAAAACAGAATTAAGTTAGCTTGTGTGTCCATGGTGAAAGACCTAAACCTGTGCGGTAGGTGTCAAGCCTTCCGGTTAGCACCAGTAAAAATGACCTTGTGACATGTATAGTTACTCGTATGACCACTAGCCCTAAAGATTTACCCATTTTATTTATTATCGTTTTGGCTTGAAAGGATGTTTTTGAAAAAGGTTTTAGCAATGTATTTGCTGTTGTTTGGCAATGTATTTGCTTTTGATTTAACAATGTATTTGCTGGTTAGTATTGAGATATTTTGGAAAGGGTTTTTATATCAAATAGATGATTTGAACTCGGAAAACGTTTTGATTAAACATAAGGTTTTGGTAATTTGAAAGAAAAGATTTTGTTGAGAAATCAAATGGATTTGAAAATGCATTTGGGCATAGTATATATATATATATATATATATATATGTATTGCATCATGGTCATTTTATGCTGGTGGAGCATGTTTAGTTTTTGAAATATTCTTTACTAGGCTTTATGCTCACCCTACATGGCTAAAAATGTTTTTCAAGTGTACATGTGTGGATGTGGACTGTGACGTGAAGTTGTGTTCGGGAATGTGTAGGGTGGTTCAGTAATTTGTATGCAATGGACCATTTATGCTATTTATTGGTCGTGTGCCATTCTTGTAAGGGTTATACCTTTATGTATGATGTAATCCTCAAGGAGTTCAATTTAATTTATAACATTTGTGTAAGATTTTAGTTATAGAACATTCATTAGATTTAGACGTTGTATCTAGGAATGTATAAAATCAGATAAACACATATATTGTGTGACTATATTATATTAATTTGCATGAGAGTTATTATTTATCGTTCATTATTGGGTGGTTTATTCACATAAGCCAGGCCGTGTAAATCTGGGGCATGACAACTTGGTATCAGAGCTAACTGGGTTTGAAAACCATGGGCTCATGGGAAGTGGTTAGCCATAGTGGGTTTATCATGTTCGGTGAGGACATTTGTATGTTGTGTGCTAAGTGATAACATGTGTTGCATTTTATGTAAGTATGGAGTTGAGACTCATAGATATTATTCGGTGTCTAATTGACTAACTTGGAGGTCTTGTTTGAAACACACTTGATCAACGTTGTTTCTAATGGGAAATCTAAGCAAGCGCTGAAAGGAATAACTATCTTTGTAGACTTAGCACAATTATGTGTTATGTGTTATATGGTAGGTGATGTGTGATTTGAGTGGAGTCTTAATGTGGTTGTTTGAATAATCATTATGTGATTGTGTTAGTATTTTGGGGAAGGGTATTAGTGTTATGTATCCTAGGTTGTGGGTATTCTCTCTTTTATAAAGACATCTGGAAAGAAGTAGTGAACTCAGAGTGGGTACCTCAGTGTGTGCCATATTGATTATGTATTAGTGTTGGTTGTGAGTTAACATTGGTTACCTTCATGGCGGTTGGCATGTCTTTGAGAGACGGTAGTGTTTTTGAGTCCTTTGTGACGGCGTGTGAGGGTGGAGTTCTGATGCTCACTTGGGTGGTATCATGTGTGTTTGGTGTTGGTTGGTAATCTTTGGGCTAGTACGGTTTTAGAGTTAGTCATGACCTCGGTCGGTCAGGTATAAGGGATGTAGATGGTGTCAGAATTTCTGGAACATGAAGAGATAGATTTGAACTTGTATGTGTTGGTAATGGTGGTGTATGGTTCCGACTTCGGCATTGGTAACCTAGAAACCCGTGTTGTGGGGTGTGGTTGGTTGGGATGTGGTGCAGTGGTTTGACTTTTCTCCGGGTTGGTGAGGTTAATTAGGCCATTTAGGCCATGAGTTGTTTATTGTAGATGGTGTATGATTGGTTGGAATAGGCGTGGTTGTTTCCTGTAGTTGGGTGAGGCAATTGGTTGAATACTAGGTAGAATTATCGTTGCTGTGGGAAATTTGGTAG